TGTCCGTGCACGGCGTGTGGGAATGCTGATCAAATGACATTGCAGGTAGGCAGCGTCTCTGGGTGCAGTGGTGGGGCAAATATGCCCTTAGGGCTGCTTTGTGAAAGCTGCCTGCATGGGGAGACTATTGCTAAGTGAATCAGATTGTTTCCTTGGCTGTGTGTGTTCCTAGGAGGCAGCAATTTGGGTGACATAGTGATGGGACTCTCACAAATGAACCCAGTTGGGTTTATGGGCCTCTTCTGCCTTCATTTCATTTCTGATGCTTGCAGTATCCCCCTTTCTGGGCTGTTCTCCCAGGGTTTTTTTGCAAGCTTTACCTTTCAGTCTCCACCTCCAGAGCTCTATCTGTCTTTCCCTTGTCAGCAGTAAGCCTGTGCTAATCACTCTTTCCTAGGAAGGCATTTCAGAATATTTAATGGTTTCTAGAATAAGGATTTCTGGGAAGATTGGGCTCAGTATGCCAAGTCAGGAGATACCCAATGTTAGCATAGTTACCAGGGTACCTTGCTGATCTGGAAGGTTCCAGCACTTTTTTTGGGTTCCCAAACCCACTTCAGTAGGAGCAGGGGCTGCCATGAGGAGAAGGAAGCTTTTCCAATTCCTTGTTCATAGCACATCCAAGAGGAAGGCTGTGTTTCTCTGGAGTGTTCTGATGCTCTGGAGGTTGGACAGACAGGCTGTGTGTGTTGGAGAGGAGTGGGTATGTTTCTCAAGCCATTAGGTGTGTGGTTATAAAGACACCTGCCAAATTTCAGAGTGCACAGTATTGTAAACTTCAAGTATTACTGGATTCCAGCTGCAAAGTGTTAACAGGGCTCCTTAGAAAATCTGCATTGGATTCAGCTATGGAGGTTACCAGCAACTGCACAGTTAGTGATGAATGTGTTTGCTAACTGTGCCATTAAGGAGTGAGCAATGGACAGATGGAGGAAGGAGATGCAGAGCTGCTTTGAACACATACTGTCCCAATAGACTCCATCTTGCACAGACATAGCTCAGAACCAGAAACTCTGGGGTGATGCTCTTTGACTTACATGAAAGAGGGGTCAGTGTAAGGAGTTGTACCACTTTTCTGAGCTTAGGAATCTTGGCATTCTGTTTTTTTTCTTCATGAACACTATGCAGTTTTCCCTTCAGCAAGTCCTAGTAAGAGATTCGGGGTTTTTTTTTTTTCTCCTTCTTTGAGGCTGTTAACATTCAATTAACATTCCTAAATCCTCACTTGGTTACCGTGCATTTAGCACGTTGCACGCATCCTCCCCCACTATTCCCAGAGGATCAGGGATCCCTGCAGGTGTTCAGATCGAGATGTTGGCTGTCTCACTGTTGCCACTTTCCTGAGTGGGAAGTGACAGCTGAATAGCCTTCTGCAAGGACAGCACCAGTAGGGGCTGGAGGAGCTCCAGTGTTACTTTTCCCAAGGCACACTGGTGGGTGTTTCCATCCCTTCCCTTTGCCGTGCACCCAGGGACCCCCTCGCCTGCTCTGCCAGAGCCTTCTTTCCAAGACCAACTCTCCTGTGCCAAATCTGAGGAGCTCAGTTACTGGGCTGTTGAAACCAGGACTGATTTTACAAACTGATTTTTACTAGAGAGGCTGTGTGGCCGGTAGCTATTGGGCTTATGAAGCGCCTGCCCTGGCTGGGATTTTGTGTCCCTGTGGTTGGTGCTGGGCCTGGACTAGCAAAAGTCCTGGGAAAGGGGAGAAGCAGTGCTGAGAGCTGCTGTCCCATGGGAACCACACAAGGATCTGGCTATGGGGAGCTTTGGAAGACCCCTTAAACTGTCTGAAGGGTGAAACCTCCTCCTCTGCAAAAGCCTCCTTGAATTCTCCGTGTTTCCTGCTTGTCAATAGGGTGATGAGCAGTGCTGGAAGGGGGTTGTTCTTTCTGCTGCTCCCCCATCACTGCCTGGTCAGCCCTGGCTCAATGGCACAAGGCTACCAGGGTTCAACACCAGCAGTTAAAGCCCTTGTGTTCTTCAGGAATGTCAGCCACCATCCTAGAACTGAGTCTGCTTCTCAATCCATCTCTGAGTGTAAAGTAGCCAGGGAACAAGGAAAATGCCACACAGCATCTTCTATCCAGCTCCCCAGGAAAAACACAGTGCATGAACCAAAGGAAAGGGGTAGAAAACAGTGCCAAGCTGTTTTCCAAGCTGTGTTGTCCTTCCCGAGTCTGCAAGTGCAGCCATAGCAAACCATCACACCCCAATTTGGGGACATTCTCAGTGTGAACAAACTGAGACATGGCTGGCAAAATACTTACTTGGGCAAGTAGTGAAAACAGATTTTTTTCTCTCAGTGCAGCTATATAGAACAGGTTCTGATGCTTAAAATAACTCAAGCACATATTTGACTTTATTCAAGCAGCCCTGTTATCCTTGGCTAGCACCTTCCTTCAGCAGAACTACCCAAAGTAGAAAACGAGCCCTTCATCTCTCTGTAATATTGAAGGAAAACTGTATGAACAAAGTTTTGTGGAAATGCAGTGGTTTAGAGCTCCTTGGCACAAACAGGTACATCTTATATACACTTACATGGAAGGTGTAAGTGCTTCTGGCTTTTGTCACTGTTCCTGTCCCTCTGAATTGCCTTGTTGGTCCATTTTCAGGTACTCTTTTCTTTAGAAGCTCTGTTCCACCTTTGGTGCACATTATGCCCCACCCCTGGTCTCACCAAATCTGATAAAGATGGTCCCAAATGTTCTAGAGGAGTCAGAACAGGCCCTGCAGAGCCAAGAGGCACCTGCTGCAAATCCAAAGCATCTTCATTGGTGTGGTATCCCTGGTCAAAGTCTGCTGGCAGTGCAAATTCTGCCAAAACAAGCCATTTCTCAAAATAAGCAATTTGATGGGAAAATGTTGATTTCAATGAAAACTTTTAACTGTGGTGGGGGGAGGGAAGAGGGAAGGCAGCAATGGTTCTTTTTTTTTTTTGCTTTTGGCTAGTGTTTGAAATTGCCTTAGGAAAAAAAAAAATCAATTAAATCCTATTGTATAATATGCAAGTTGAAGTGAAATGAAAGGGAAAAGTTGAAAGGAAATCTGTTAAGGAGGTGCTTATTGAAGGAGTTCTGGATTTGCCTTGTAAGAAACATCAACATTTTAGCTGTCCTTGTTGTGATTTGGAATGAGTCTGCCCGAAATGTTGGAATTTCCCACAGAACAGATGTTCAGCCTGTTAATTTGTGCTTCATCAGCAAATACTTGAATTTCCAAGACTGTGTGTCCCTTCTGAGCTGGAAAGTGGCGGGAGCCAGGGGAACCATCCCAAATCAGGGCTTTTCTCACCAGATGTGTAGCTGTGTCTATGCCAGAGGCTCCTGCAGCCTCCTTTGGTGGGAAGGCTGAGCTTCCCTTGGTAGCATCCTGATTAAATAAGGCCCAAGCACACTGGGCCTAAATTAATCCCTGCATTGATATTTGCAGGGATTTTAAATGAGTGGTGGGGAGGAAGATACAGGTGACTGGTGCCCTGTGCTATTTTCCCCCCCTGTGCCTGCTGTTAGTGAATTATCTTGCCAGAAAAAAAAGCTGAGGTGGGTGGTAAGGACTGGTAGTGTCTGGCTCTTACCTTCTGCCTGCCTGGCACCTCATGTCCTCCTACAGCTAAAAAGCAAGGACCAGGCCTAACATGCAGGGAGACTTTAGGGCCAAAATGCTGTGGGGTGACCGGGGACAGAGATTTAGGCTCTTCTCAATGCAGAAATGTGACATAACACATGGCCCAGCCTGGTTTTGTCACCCTTCTCCTCTTCCAGTTGTCTGTGGCAGGGGTAGCCAGATACACATTTCTGCATAAAGATGGCATGTGTGACCTCCAGGTATTTCCCTCCTGCTTGGCTGAGCTCCCTCTGCATGGGATTTCTGCTGGGAGTTCCTGTCTCTCATGTCCCTGTGCAGAAACCCCTGCTTCTTGGTGGCACTCACATAGTTCACCCGCCCTCTGCATCCTGGGGCACCCTCCACCAGCTGAGAATTGCCATTCACATGCTGAGGGGGTTGGCTTTCAACCCAGCATCTCCTTCCTTCAGTGCTGGAGGGAGCTGCCCGAGGCTCTGCAGTGTTGGTGCCTGTTGAGTGGAGAGATCCAGAGGTCAGATTTGACTGGCACAGTGGCACCTTGCCCTGGTTTTCTGCATGCTAGGATTGAAGTGAGCCTCCACTGATGGCTTTGGGGGCCCCCACTGGCCATTTGTGCCTGTCTGGCACAGAGCTGAGCCTCTGCTGGGCTGAATCCCCCCCCGTGCCAACCTGAGGTGTCGGGATGGGGAGACGTCACGACAAGCTGTATTTATACAGGCTGTTGCTTGGCAGTGCTGCTCCAAGGTGCATCAACATAATGACATACATAAAAGGGGAAGGCAGTTAAATGTGCAATAACATCACAATAAAAGTAAAACTGAGCATTAATGAAAAATCTGAGCGCACTAAGTGTAGTACAGTCGAACGTTCCCACCACCCTGGGCCGCGGTGCTCAAACTTAATAATAATTTCTGGCAGTGTCATTACCAGAATGAAATGAGGGCCTAACTGTCTAGAAAAATATGTTTGGGGGGAAAAAAATAAACGGGTCTTGAGAGTCTGCAAGTGGCTCTGCTGCATGGATTTCCCCAAGGTAGCACAGGTACCAGGGAACTGGGAACTGCTGCCAGGGGCAGGTGGTGACTGAGCCAGTGTGGTCATTTTGGGAGCGGAGCTATGCACTTGGGGAGCTGCTGGATCTGCTGTGAAGGTGGGGTGAGGGTTTGTTTGTGTATTTACAGGCTTGGTTCTGACCTCATGATGTGACTTCCCCAGGGCCAGCAGTGCTCCAGGGGATGCTGCTGCCTTTTGTCCCTGGGGTGGTTCTCTGGGATTTCAAACACAGGCCTCCAGAAATACTGCTGGCTAACATGAATGAACTGATGTGAAAAACTGAACTAACAGGATTGCTCTTCCCTAGTAAATAAAATCTCTTTTCTCTCCTCTCCTTCCCCTCTGTGCCTTCCCTGGCAGGTTTTGGAGGCTCACTGACACCATGGCGCTGAGGCTCCCAGGAGCGGGGTCCTTCTCTCTCGTTGGAGTCCTAGTCCTGGTTTTGGCTCTCCCTGCTGATGCTGGGTAAGGTGGTGAGTGCTGAGGCTGTTGGCCAAGGCTGCAGTCCTCTTGCTGATCTTAAATATGCCGGGGTCAGGACCTGCATGGAGTAGTCCAGGGCAAAGCACTAAAAAGCGTCTCTGCTGTGTTTGACCCTCCCCTTGTCCCTGTCCCTGAGCTTTTCACCCGGGGACTGTTCAGTCCCTCGTGGCTGACATTAGCACTATTTGAGGCACTCTCACTAAGGACAGTTGTCAGCATTTTTTGCAACAAAACCTATTTTCAGATTTGGCCTCTGCACAATTCAGTCTGGGCAGGGACTTGGCTTGCATGAGTTTTAACACGGAAGAGAGATTCTCCTCCCCTTCCCCCCAGTTTCATTTTTTAATACTATTTTAAAGAAGAGAAAACTAATCTGCTTCAGCTGTTTGGTTGCTTGGGGTGTAATGACCCATGGGCAGCACACCTGATCCACTGGAGCACTGGGGTTCTCTGCCAGCTCTCCTGGGTTTGCTGCTCTCCCTCTGCCCAGGTTAGTGTTCCGGGATGTGCAGGCTCCAGCTGTCCTGGCACAGGGAATGCTGCTGCCAGCCTCACCTTCCCAGCCTCTGGGAGCTGACAGGAGACAAATCCTGTTAGTCTGTGACAGGCTCTGCAGCCCTCCTCTGCATCCCACCAGAGCCTTTGCTTCGTGAGCTTGGGGAAGCCTTTGAGAAAGGGAGGCAGAGATGCCACCAGCCATGGGGAGGGAGGAGCTCTGCACAGAGGGAGAGAAGTGCAAATAATACATGACTGCTATAAAACATTTAGAAAAGCCTTTAGAGTGCCAGGTATGGACACTGAAGTGATGTTTGCTGAGTTACAAGTCCAGCAGTGATCAAGGATCTTCATGCATGAGATGTCACTGCTGCTGCTCCTCCAGCATCCACACACCCCTCCCACCCTGTCCTGCCTGTTTTGCTTTGCCTGCTTGGATCTGACTTCCCAGAGGCATCCTGAGCGTGCCTTGCCCTGTAAATGCTGACCCTGCCCTGCCTGCAGAGGCACAGACAGCCCTGGGCACCTCCTGCCCCCTGTCCAGCTGCTGGGGCTCCCTCCCCATGATGGTTGGGGGGGTGTCAGCAGCCCCTGTGCCTCCAGCCCTGCCTCTGCCTTCCTCACTGCTGCTCTTTTCCTTCCCATCACATACTCACTGAAGCCACTGCCGATGCTCCCTCGCCACCTGCCCCAAGGGGATTGCTCGGAATATTGGTCCACAGGAGGATTTGTTTCCTAAACTGTGGGTGAGGGGACCCTTGTGCAGAGGTTGCTGTGCTGATGTGGCACAGCTCCCCAAAGAGCACGTGCACAGGGGCAAGGTAATGACTTTTCCTCAAGCCTGTCTTAATTAAATTTGCTGTAAACCTCTGTCCTCCCTGCCTAAAGGCTTTTAATTATTTTAAAACCTTGATCCCCATCCCTCTTTGCAGTTCCTTTATGCCTTGCTAAAGGGCAGCCTTAGCTTTACATTAAGGCCAGTTGAGCCTGCCCAGACCTTGGCTGGAGCGGGGAATTAGCCCAGATCAAGTGCCAGGCAGAGATGCTGCTGCCTCTCCCCTGCCTGCACCTTCCCCCTGCCTGCACCTTCCCTCACCCTGCCTGCACTGCTCTTTCCCCAGCATCTCCCAAGTGAATCCCACACTGCTCACATTGAAGTCAAACCCTCAAATGTCAGGCTAAGTAAAACAGCTTTGAAATTTGTAAACTCATTTTTCCCATCACTGCGGAGCCTCCACCAGGAGTTCCTTCACAAAAATCGGTCTTCTTGCTCTTTATATTATGGGTAATTTTTAAAGATAGCCTATAAAACATTAATGAATGAGCTTTCATGAGCATGCTAGCTGTTCATAACTTATAGATGGTTATATACTCATCAGTAGACACTGGTACAGATTACTTTTAACCATGACATCTATTGAAAGCTGGTACAATTGGAACCCCACTAATTACAGTAGTCATTTTTTAAATTTCTCAAAATTCTGCTTACCTGCAGGGAGTTCAAGTCCAGATGAAAAGCCAAAGTCAGTGCTTTGATTCAAATGGAAATGGGAAGTCTCGAAGGCTGTGATGCAGTTTGTACCATCGGGGTGGTTTGATGTTTTGGATCTGACAGGGTGTATTAGGGCAGGGCCAAGTGTTATCCCGACCATGCCTCACCCCCACATCCTCTGGGAACTGCAGTTTAAGCACTGATATCCTCTTTGGGGTCCTGTAGGCTGAGCTTCCTGGTTTGACCATTTCTCCCAGGATAGCACCTCTTGCTTTGCTAAAAACAGAGGCTGAATGGTCTTGTGAGAGGTAGGACCCAGCCCCTGGGGAAGTGAACCCCAAGCACTTGAAATGCAGTTTCCCTGAGTGTTTGGTCATTGAAGGCAACAAAAATTAGTGTGAGAATTGCCCCAAATGGAATATTTCAATTAACTGCAGCATACTAAATAGTATTGGTTCAGCCTGGCTCTAAAAATACCCATATCCTACTCTCAATTCTTCCTGTTTTGCTAGAAAATACCTTTTGCTCTTTTATGTTACAATCTGGGTTTTCTGTTGGGTGAACACTTTGACAGAAAACTCCAAGCCAGCTCTGCTACTTACCACCCACTCTACTGATCCTACACAGTGTATTTACAAATGGACCAGTAGTGTCAGGGGTAGCTAGTCCAACCAGATGGGATACAGCAGGACTGAGCCTTGAACTCCTTAAATTATATTCCTTTCTCTGTATGTTTTTTTCCCCCAGTTACTTCCTCATGCATGCTTAAACCAGTGGCTGCAAAGAGCAACTGGAACAAAAGGAAATAAGGCTGAGGTGGAGAAGGAAAGGGGCAAAACCCTTAGAAAGCAACTATTTAGGGGCTTCTCTTCCCCTAGCTGTGGGGAGCAGGGCACTGCTCCCTCCACTCCAGCAGCCTTTTCTCCCCTGCCTGGCTGGGCATCCTCAGCCATCCTGCTGCCTCTCTGTGCCTCTTAATCTTTTTTTGGCCTCAGTGGTCTCTCTCTTATTTCCTCTTCCATCTTCCTTGCAATCTCTTCATTTTTATAGATTTTTTTTCTTTTGGTTTTCTGTTACTTAATCTTCTGCCTTTCCATTTGTTTGGTCCTAACAGCTATTTCTGCTGGGGAAAGCTGTACTTGAATCCACAGCACTGGTACTCTGTGTTGTCTGAAATCTCTTTTAAAGGCAGGTGGTTTCAGAAGGATTCACAGGCTCTTTTTCTGTTGATTGAAAGGAAGACACAAAACGCAAATGTATTATTTGAGCCCCTTGTGTTTGCAAAACTGTATTGAAGATTTTGTTCAGCAAGATGAGCTTTGTTTGAGAAATTTACTACTTGTTTTATTCCACCTGGGGCAGAATATGTTCTGAGGAAATCATCTTGTTTGGGGACTTCCAGGCTTCTTGTGTTGAGCAGATCTGGGAACGTGAAAAATCATTTGTTTTTATAAATAGGGAAAGTTCAAGAAACTGCAGAAAAGGTTCTTGAAGTGTTTTAATGATGGACTGAGGCTTCAAGCCTGCCTTACGGAATTCCTATTTTCTGCCTCCCTTCCTTTTTCCCGGGGGCAGGGAACACTGAAATGGCAAATAACTGGCATCACTCCTTCCGTGCTGCCTGCAGGGAGATACTGGCACTTGAATAACTGCGGTGCCCACAGCCTCCGTTCATAAAACGGCCATTCCTGGGGCAGGGGAAGGCTCCCTGTTAAAACGGGGCTCCTGAACCACTGTCCATGGTGCTGCTGGCCCTGAGCACGGAAAGGTGGGCAGGGAGCAGCGCGGGTGCCTCAGTGCTGAGGTGTTGATTAGAGATGCCCTGTGGGGCATCCTGCAAGCACATCACTCTGCCAACAAGTGTGCCCCGTCCTGCAGTTCAGGCTGGAGCAGGAACCAACATCCCTTCGTTCCCTGGAACTGTTCAGAGCACATCCTCTGAAGGTAGGTTTTGCTTCTGATGATGTTTTTTCCTTTTTTTTTTTTTTCCCCTCCCCCTTGCCAGGCTCTCTCAGAAGCACGTTTCAGACGTCGTTGATGACAGCAAAGATAACATCACCATTTTCACCCGCATCCTGGACAGGCTGTTGGATGGGTACGACAACCGCCTGAGACCTGGGCTTGGAGGTCAGTTGGGTGGAGAGATGATGCTTTCCATCAGCAGCTCTAGAAAGGAGAGGCAGTGCAGATGACTTATTGAAAAGTCTGGTGCTGTCAGGAGGAGAGGCTGGTTCAGTGCCAGAGTCAGCCTGTGGCTGGTTTCCCTCTTTTGAGTCGGTGGTATTTTGTTGGGTTTTATCTTGTGGGATGGGAAGTGCCAGTCTCTGAGTGCTGGGGTCACCTGTGACATTACAGTGACAGGCCTGTAGATGGAGCAGCTATGAATAAACTTATTGCTACTGTTTTCTAGGCATTAGCATTTCAGAAATGCTGATACATTCAGGAATTAAAGAAAGGCATTGAGGTGCTGGAGCTGGTCCAGAGGAAGGGCAATTTCTTCACATAAAGGGTTGTAAAGCACCAGAACAGGCTGCCCAGGAAAATGGTAGAGCCACCATCCCTGCAAGTGTTCAAAAACATCTGGATGTGGCACTTGAGGACATGGTGGTGCTGGGTTGGCAGTTGGACTTGATTCTCTTAAAGGTCTTTTCCAATGTGAGTGATTCTATGATTCCATACCACCAGTTTGCAGGACCTTCAGCTCATGTTGGTTTTGCTTTCCAGTCAGTTTGCTTTGCTACAGAGCCCCTATCTTGACACCTGCTCAGTTATTTTTTTATTGTAGCTGTCACCTGGCAAGCTCTTCCCTGTGTGCTGCTCTGGACATCAGGCAGTCACCCGGGCTTTGCTGCCTCCTGAGCTGCATTTAACACTGCTGCTATCGTTGCTGCTGCTGCTGAGGTTCTCTCCAAGCACCTGCAGCTGTTTAAGGGGCTTCAGAAAGCAAAATAATAGTAGCCACCTTCCCACCTAATGCTTATGCCTTCAGTTAGCGTGATATAAGGAGGCAGAAAAAATGGGGAGATGTGTGGGGAAGACAGATGTGAGCTGGGCTGAGGGAGATGTAGACCTGGGTGGTTTATTGGTGTGTTGCTGTGGCAGAGTTGACCCCTCTCAGATGCTGACAGCTGTGTGTCACTGGGGCCTCTGAGGAGATGTCCCTGCCCTGCTCTGAGCTCTCCTGTTTGGCTGCAAAGGTGTGCTGCTGGACTACAATTTCCACCCAAAAGTGGAGTCACCGTGTGCTCTCCTGTTCTCTGAAGGTCCCACTGCCAAGAGAGGTTGGGAACAAGCTTTCCTGGGCTCTTGCATGCTAATGGGGGCTCTGGTGTTATAATGCTAGCCAGGAATTGCACTCTCCCTTGCTCAGAGCAGCTTTGTTGTCCCTTCCCAGCCCCATGCCCACCTCTGTGCCACAGCCCTCTGCCCTGCACCTGTCCAGGAGTACTTTGATCCCAAGCAGAGACCAGGCAAAGCCTGGGGAGGAAGGGCTTCTGCAGTGAGCATCCTCATCTCTGATGCTCTGCCACGCTGCAGGACCCAGGCAGGAAAGAGTTACTGTGTCTGCATAAGCAATCCATCAGTTTTATTGCTTTTGTTGCTTGTTTCTTTCCCCCAGAATTAACTGTGGTCCCACTAATAGCTTTGCTTCCTCAAGTCTCCCCGATGGCTGTATTGATTTAACTGAAATGAGTTCTGAAAGGGGACTGAGGGGGCATTTATGTTCACCGTAGGCTCAATTGCAGACAAACCCATGCAAAGCATTAACAAGAGGACTCCCAGGAGCCCCTTGCTGGGAAAGTTAAAACCTTTCTTGGAACATCTTTTCTCTGTTGCTTTAGATCCTTTAACAACGTGTTTAACATAATAAATTGCCTTTGCCTGAACCAGCCACTGTATGTTTAAAGACTGCTTTCACCTCTGGTTTCCCCTGGCAGAGCAGTCCTGTGGGCCCAGATGGGAGGTTTTGACAAGGGCTAGAGGTTTTGGGAGCTGTTGGCTGGCAGTGAGTTGTGTTTGCATACAGGGCAGCCTGGTGAGCTGGGCTCTCCCCACTTTTAGCTGGACCTGCTTTCCCCAAGGCCAAACTTTTGGAGATCTGTCAGGAACAGAAGGACCTTCCCCACTGCTGCTGGTGGCCAGAGAAGCAGAAATGGTCCTGCTGCAGCCTCCAGACTTGGGGGCTAATGGAAGAGCCTGAGGAGATAATCAGCAAGAGGTGGGCTCCTGCTGTCCAAGGCTGTGTGAGATCTGTGAGAGGGATTGCTTTGCTCCAAATTAGCAGCTGTGCTGCTCGGTGACTGACAAGGTACATTGGCTTTCCTGTGAGACAGCACTGGGCAGTCCCTGCAGACAGACCCAGCACTGTCTCTCCTCATTTTCCCTCAGGAATATCTTCCACTTGCTTTTCTGAAGATGTCAGGTAATGGCATCCATTAGTAGCAGTAAAGTCCTGCTTTGGTGCCCGTGGACAGGGCAGATGTGGTGTCGCTGTGTCCACACACAGGCTGATGGAGAGATGAACTGGCCAAAGCAGGACACGCAACATCCCTCCTTGGCTGGTTTCCCTGCTCTGCATGAGACAGATCCCCCTGCAAAGGGCTGGGACAGGCAGGGCTGGGAGTGCTGCAGCCCCTCTCAGGGCTGTGTGCTCAGTGCCTGTCCCCCACGCTCGGCAGAGCCGCTTCCCGTGCGCCAGGAACCGAGCAATGTTTGTTTAGACTTCGGGAAAAGACACTGTGTAAGCAACAGAGTGTTAATGTGGTGACTTCTCCCCTCAAGATAGCCTCTTTGTATTTATTTTCTTATCCCCTCTGTTTTTACCATCTGCTGCCACCCACTCTAATAGCTCCCATGCCAGAGCTCCTCTTCCTACCAGGATGCTGCAGACACAGATTAAAGCAAACTAGTGCTGAGGCTGCTTGGGACTTCCTGGTGCTGCAGAGCCAGGCTCCGGGTGAGGGTAATCCTGGGCCCTGCTGCTGCTCCTGCCTCCAGGAGCTGGCTCAGGGCATCCTCTCTAGCTCAGAGTCCTTGCTGTCTTGAGGCAAGTGGAGGTTTATGAGGCTGGCTTAGGAGAGGAAAGGAGGGGGTCAGGGGAAAGAAAGTGATTGTCAGACCCCTCTTTTTGCAGCAGGACCCTGTAGCACTGGGGACACAATCACTGGTGTCCCAGAGAAGTCTTCTGTGGCTGGTAGAAGGTTTCTCTCTGTCTCTGCCAGCTGAGCCAGGGCTGGATTCCTCTTAGGAGCAGAGCTGAGCCTTTCCTTTGGCCTCATGACCACTGAAAGACAGTCTGGGCTTGGGGAAGGGGTAGCTGCATAAAGGGATGATGTTATAGGACTCGGAGTGGGGGAGGAGAGGAAGGAACTATCAGCAGACAACCTGTGTTTCCCCTGGGAAAACACAGGGCAGATTGGTTATTAAGTCAGAAGAGGAACAGAAGTGGACCCTGAGGGGATGCAGACATCTGTTGCCATGGCCAACCTTGTAGGATAAGAAAATGTCCCATGGAGAGAGCTTCTGTGGACAGCACTGGCCTCTGCTCCTGCTCTGGAGCTGTGCAGGACACAGCTCCCAGCCCCGAGGGGCTGCAGTGGGAAGCATCTATTTACAGCTCTCAGGTTCTTCTTGCTGGGGCTCCTGCAGAGCTGGCACACAGGGAGCTGTGCACCTGGAGCTTGCAAGAGTAGGAGAGAGCAGATGTGGCCAGGAAAAAGAGGTAGAACTGGCTGACAAGGGAGAGACGTCCTACACCCCAAAGGAAGAGGTGTTCGAGGAGTGGGATGTAAGTGGTGAGACCATGAGTGATCCTCCAAGACTGGCTGATGAACTAAAATACCCTGTGTGTCCTGGTGCTGTGAGGAGTGATGGAAGTTCTGCAGTCCTTACACAGCCAGTGTGATGTCCAGCACAGTGAACACAAGGGGGGATGTGGTGGTTGAGGGTTTGAGGGTCAGTGGTGCTCCCTGTGCAGCTGTGCCTCCTGTACCTTATTTCCTAACTGATGAAATTTGGGGCCATTGTGCTGCAACTGAAACAGAGATATGTGAACATCTGGGAAGGGACAGGAAGGCTTTTCCTTCCTTACAGTCTCAAGAATCCTTTTAATATTTGGCAATTGAAAGTTAACAGGGAGCTTGGGGAGGTGTGTGGGACCTTTCCACAGCTGTTTGAAAATCAGGGTAGGGTTTTCTTCCAGCTCAGCCGGAGACTGCCTGCTTCAGAGGGCTGGGCATTCACCTGAGGTACACTTGGTGTAAGGATGAGGAAGCCAGAGGACATCTGGAGCAGTGGTGGACAAAGTCTCTGCGTTGGGTGATCAGGAAACCTGCACTCCAGAAAACTGGTGGCCTTTTCCATGCGCTGCCAGGAGGAAAAGGTTTTGCCCCAAGGAAGAGGAGGCTAGAGTAGGCTGCTCAGTTTTCTAGAAGATGAGCTGTAAACTTCCTAGATTAGCCGATTTCTCCGACTGCAATTAAAAAGTAATTTGTACCATGTTAAGCAGGTGGGCTGAGATCGATCTGTGTTATCCCTCCTGGATGCAGCGTTGCTTACAAGGCTCCTCTTCCTCTCCTCCACTGCACTGCTCTTTGTGGCTTGGTGTCAACATCTCCCTGCCCACACTGGGCTCAGTACAGACAGCCTTGGGGTCGAGCAGGATCTGGTGCAGTCAGGGTCTGCTGCTCACAAAAGGACTCAGCTCAGGGTTGCCTGACATGGGCCTATAGTGCCTTTTATCTGGCCTCACTATGTCAGCTCTGTCTTGCTGATGGTTTTGATCTATAGCCACCTGTTAATATTTATCCTGCTGTCATATTCCCTTTATTCTTCTGTAAGTGAAGTGCACCTCGGTTGAAGCTGTTCTTGTCTCTCCTTTCTGCAGTGCAGTGTTTCTTCCTGCTTTTTTTAATGATGGTGTAGTTTGGCAGGATGGCTTCTGAGCAAGAAACAACTGTATCCCTGTCTTGCCACCTCTGCCACCAATTCAAGTGCTGATGAGCCAGAAGTTTTGGACTTTGGTTCAGAGAGGCTCCTTTTAGGTTGAGACTTTCTGGGGCAATGCCTGGTGTGTTGCACCTCAGTGCATGTGTCATTTTGTCCTGAGCTCCTCCTCGTCTGCTGCT